GAGCGGCCCTCACGACACGAATTACTTCCTCAGCGTGGCCGAGTTGAAAGCTCGGTGAAGGAGGCGTCTTCTCTGACTGAAAAAGTGACACATTCTCATGGGCAGAACGACCCTGAATATTTCAAAGACAAAAATAAACTAGCGCCTGTGGTGGTGAAGACAAACAGTTCTCGTTCAGGCTGAAGGCATTTGTATTGCAATTGTATTCCTCTCCTCCCTACTCCAGACTGGAGGAAAAGAAGTTTAATAAAATGCCGTGCAATACCCAGTTCTTTTCTGTATCTAGAGATGCTCCCATCACCTGTTCCTGAGCACTACAAGAGAATTTTCTGTGCTAGCGTGACGAAGATAATCTTGGAGATTGAAAGCCACAGGTTCAAGTTTCCTTCTCGAGGCCGAAGCAGCGCGTTGCCTGTCCTTGGTTTGCCGACGGCGTGGTGGATGTTACGGTGAAATAATAAAAGCAAAGCTGCTGCTCTAGCAGCAGTGACTCGTCTAACAAAAGATATGAGACATTTGCTATGTTAAAGTAATGAATTGTACAGCATTTAAAACACCAGCGTCAGGTAACTTATCCGAAATTTTACAACCTGAATCTTTACCCCAATGTAAACAAGATGTATAAAGTTTACAGTTGTTACATACATTAGCTAAACTGTAAGAGCCATCATTCCCAAACCTGGAATTTATTTGCCTAAATCTGTTATTAAAACAGATTGCGAGGATTAATGTGGTATGATTTTGGTTAAGCTTTATGAGCATCTTTTTTTTCTGGAGATTGAGCATATAAAGCAGTAATGACAAAAAAAACACGTGTTTTTCTTCGGTGGCTACCAGCAAAGACTGACAATATCCCTGCTGGGGAAAAAACCAGGCTTACTCTTACCTCAGCACCTGGGTACGGTGAGCACAGAGAGAATTTGATCCAAGCTCAAGCGCTGAGCCCAGGGTCACACACAAATCACGGGGGCAGAGGCGGCTGTAAAGTCCCCCTGAAGTTCTAACGTGCAGTTCAGTTTTACCACTCGATCTCCCTGACCGAACTCTGCTGTAGCCTTCCAAGTGCGTCTGGCTTTAAAATCAGTCCAGGTCGCCGCGTGTGACCTCGTTCAGTAACGAGGACAGGTACAGACTGCGTCGGGGAACGCCGCTTGCACGGAGAGGTCCTTGAGCAACGCTAGCGCTCGCTCCATGGCGAAACAGGGTCAGACCTTTTAAATCCCAGTCGTGTCTGGCAATACAAAGAGGAGCTGGTTTTTAATTACCTTGGGAGCCAGTTTTTAATTACAGCAATACTGGGCAGTTGTCCACAGCGTGCATTTTCCTGGTAAGGTTTGGAGTATTCCAGAGAGCCAGGGATGATTTCAGCGCAGCCCCATCACCACTGGACGCATACGTTTTTCTCTACCTCAAATTCTACTGAATTCTAAAGAGATCTTCAGCTTCACTGGCGCTGCATTAATATCCTGAATATTTCTGTGATCTCTCTCACACAAACACGGGTCAGGCAAACGTAACGAACCGTTCTGCTGTGAGAACGGCCCTTTCCCAGTGCTTCATCCTTGGATTCCCCACTTCCCCAGTAGCTGAAGGACATTGTGTGCGACGCAGCTCAGCAGTAGGCTTGCTTTTTTTGCAATAAAAATATGAAAGTTTATCAAGCTGCTAATTTGTGTGCGGGGAAAGAAAAGAGTTTAATTGCATCCCCCACCTCGAGGCAGGAGCACCCGCTGCCAGCCCGCAGCGGCAGGGCTGCCCTCCGCATTCCCAGTGTCGCAGTCCGTGCCAGAGCCATGTCCCCAGCGCCAGCAGGGGCTTGGATTTTAAGATCAGCCCCACAAGCCTGGGAGCTGACGGCACGCCTAAAAGATGGGTTTTATGCCCAAACCATTTTGGAATCTCATTTCCAATGCAATGACATGCTGGCAGTATTTTCCTCAGTGACGGGCTCAGAGCAGAGCAATGAAACACAAGAACAACGTCCCGGTGTTAGCGCTTACGTCCCCCAGCAACAGGCCTCCAAATCCTGGCAAAACCTCTCCAGTTCATTTCCTCTGCTATTCAAACTGCTGCAATTTAGTAGAAAACCAAAGGGTGCCTGTTTGTACAGTTGCTCTTCGGGCGGTGATGGTTTTCCAACCACTCTCTCCTGCTTGGTCAGTGCTAGAGCTGAAACGTGGCTGAAAACGCCGAGCGCAAGCAATTAAGGGCAAGAGAAAGAAACACCAAACTTATCACAGAGTTTGGAGCCGTCAGTATGGCTTGAGGAGGTGACAGGATTAAGCACTCGGTAAAGATGAAAGACAGTGAATAACATTGCTGCCCTAACCACTGCTAACGAAACAGTCCCTTGGTTCAAAGCAGAACTAGGGAGATTAGAAAGAGAAACATTTTTACTGAAAATGAGGGGTCTGGTGTATAGTTCCTGGTTAGAAAAAAGAATTACCTGAGAGGCAGGTACGGGAGGAGAGGATTTGCTTTTCTTAATCACGTATCGAGAGGATTTGCTTTTCTTAATCACGTATCTGACTTGGATATTTCTTGAAAGAAAAAATTCGCAGGTTTGTAAATTAAGGCTCTCTGAGAGTCTTTGTCCTAACACTGTTAGCCAAGGGGTATCACAGAATCCACGCCACTGAAGTTACAGTTAAGAAAATCCCGGGTTGGAAGGGACCCCAAGGATCATCCGGGCCAACCTTTCCGGGCCAGAGCCCAGCCCAGCCAAGGTGGCCCAGCGCCCTGTCCAGCTGAGGCTTGGAAGTGCCCCGCGTGGCGGAGCCAACCCCTGCCCTGGGGAGATTATCCCAGCGGGTGACTGTTCTCATGGGCGAACATTCCCCTCTCGTGTCCAGTTGGAATCTCCCCAGGATAACTTGTACCCATTGCCCCTCGTCTTTTGCTTGTGACTCCTTGCGAAAAGGGAGTCTCCGTCTTCCCTGTAGCCACCCTTTAAAGACTGGTCCGTGGTGATGGGATCCCCTCGGAGCCTGCTCTGCTCCAGGCTGAACAACCCCAGCTCTCCCAGCCCATCCTGAGGCTTCCCCGCCCTTGGCTCACCGTGCGGGCCCCGCGCTGGCCCCCTCCAGCCTGCCCACAGCGGTTTTGTTTCCATCTATCATTT